AAGTGACCACCTGAAGACCCACGTTGCCCCCCTACAATAAAGTGACCCCCTGAAGACCCACGTTGCCCCCTATACAATAAAGTGATCACCTGAAGACCCACGCTGCCCCCTCTACAACAGTGACCACCTGAAGACTCACGCTGCCCCCCAGAATAGATTTAAAGCCCACGGAGGAGCTCTTCCACCCCCCTCCCACCAGGCCGCGCTCCCTCCTTCCGGGGACGTGTCTGGGGCCTGGCTAATGGCTGCTACGGCGGCGGCGGCTGCCCTTCCCCGGCCTGGGGGGGGGGGGTAGAGGAGCCCTCACTCACGCCGGCGAGCTGGGGGCTGGGCATTGAAGTCCGGCGGCGAGGACGGGCGGGCAGCTGGGGGGCTCCTCCTCAGTCACCTCGGCGGCGGCGGCGGCGGCGGCGGCGGTGGCGGTGGCGGCGGCGACGACTCCCCCCCAGCCTCCCCCCGAGCGCGCGACACCCGGCCCGGCCCGGCGGCGGCTCCGGCCCCGGCCCCGGCGGCGGCTGCGGCTCGGGCCCCGGCTCCGGCTCGGGCGGCGGCGGCGCGTGCCAGCGAGTCCGTCTTGGTGCGGCGGCGGCGACGGCTCCGGCTCCGGCCCCGGCTCGGGCTGAGGCAGCAGCGACGGGGGCTGCGGCTGCTCCCCGTGTGGAGGCAGCGCTGGGGCCTCGCCTCGCCTCTCCTCGCGACGCGCCGCTCCGCCGAAGGGCCTGCTCCGCGCTCCGGCAGCTGCTACTCCCGCCACTGCTCCAGCTCCTGCCGCCGCTGCCGCTGCCGCTGCCGCTGCCGGGACGATTACGGCTGAGGCTGATCGCGCCGCCGCCGCCGCCGCCGCCGCTACCGCCACCGCCGCCGCTCCTGCTGCGCGCGCAACCGGAACCACCTCGCCTTCTCCCCCTCCCCCTTCCTCGTGTCCCCTCTCCTGCGAGCGCCCCCGCCCTCCCGGGCCGTTGGTCGGCTCCTCAGCCCTCCACTCCCTTCGCACTCGCGGCCCACCCGCCCGGCTGCCATTCCATCCGACCCACCCACCCAGGCTCTCGCCTTTGTCTTGACCTCTGCCCTGAACTCCCCCGCTTCTCCCCATGGTTTCTTCCACCTGGAGCTCAATCCCGTTGAGGCCTGATCCATGTGGCCGCGAGAATAGGGGAGGCCACACGCGTGCGTGCACGCACATACATTCACATTCACATTCACACACACACACTCACACGCACGCACTCACACACACGGAGCCCAATCGGGGGCAGGAAGCTGCACCCTCAGGCATCCCAGCCTTTGGCCTGCTTAGGAAGGGCTCCCAGCAGCCTTTGCGCCTGGAAGTATTGGCCATGCTGCCAGGTGCCATGACGCAGGGGCTGGGTGCCAGACCCCGGTGGGACGTGGCAAGGGAGCTAAAGGCCATTAGGAAGGGATTCCCAGCCTTGAGGACTGGCCGAGGCCAAGGAGATGGAAGCCAGAGCTGCCTCACTCTTGGCTGAGCCTCCTCAGAGACTAGGGTCTCCTTGGCCCTGGGCCCAGCAGTTCCTGGGCAGCAGGTCTCAGGCCTGAGGACTGACCCAGCAAGGGGGAGAGATTTCCTGTAGGCTTAACCACTATTTTTCTTTTTTTGGGGGGGGGAGAGACAAATAGCAGGAAGCTAGACCAGGCTGATTGCCAGTTGTCATAAAGAACAATCACTGGAAGTCTGCTCAGGGGGGGATTGAAGTAGCTTCAGGGATCTTCATTACTTTAAAAGATCCCTGATCTCATCACTATGGGTCTTCCTCTCATCAATGAAGACTCAGTCTCTTTAAACCTTAGTAGGCAGTTTTCATGAAATAAATGCTGTGGCAAAACAAACAAGGAAACAAAAAAAAAGAATCATCCCCTGGTAACAAACCCTCTAGCACTAACCTCTCATGGACTGTCCCTTGGGTGATAGACACCCAGTCAATTGCTGTACTCATTGTCAAAGGTCATCCAAATTACCAGGACCTGCTAGGGATTATGTTCTATGTTTCTACCTGGGGTCACCTCCTCTCCAGACAAGAGGCATGTAGGGAAGACTTTTGTGGGGGGCTTCAGGATCAGGTCTTAGAAAACACGTCCCTTAGATGAAAGTGGCTATTGAGTGTTCTATCCAACCAGCCCTGGTAGGATAGACCTACCAAAAAACTAGGTACCAGAAGCATTACCCTAGTAGAAGGTAAGCTCCTCGAGGACAGGCACTATCTCATTTTTGTATTTATATACCCAATACCTCGCACAATGCCTAGGACATATCAGGTGCTTGTTGATGGAGGCATCCTCACCTCTTCCTGTTCTTCCCAAGCCTCAAAGTTGCCAAAGAAATAGTAGTTAACGGCATAGACATGGGGGCCTCCCTATGTGGGGCTCTGGACCATGCATTTCTGAAGCTAGACCTAATGCTCTAGAGAATCCTAGATGGCTCAATGATGCAAAGAAGGGTCTGTCTCATGACTCAGCTCCTTCAGCCCATCACAAAACCCTGGAGTTCGCTCTCTGTCAAAGGCCCCAGGAGAGAGTACTTCAGGACAAGGCTGGCGGGCCAGTGTGGGAGTTGAAGACTGGAATAACAAGCCATGCTACAGATCAGGAGAGGTGCATCTGCCCGGTGGCATAGGGGAAGCTGGCACAGCTACTGTTTGCCCTCCACCTGCTGTCTCTCATATCCATGAAGCACAGAATACATTTTGAGAAGGGATCCCAGGCATAAGGCCTTCCTACAGTCAGGCATCAAACCCACCTGGGATTTTAGGGAAACACCTCCTTCCTAGGCCCTAGAAACTTCCCAGGGATGACAATGGGGCATCAGCTATTCCTGCCACTGAGTCCCCAGGAAGAAAGAAGAAATACCCCCAACATAATGGGGCTTATGACCTTATCAAAAACAGCTGCCCGAGCAGGGTTATAACAGTTTTTCTCCACACCTTAAATAGCTTAAGAACTGGGCTTGGGGCACCTATATTATACAGTGTGAATCATTCTTGGCACTGAGTTTAATACATAATAAATGCCCTGAGTTTAGCAGAGCCTTTTTCTGAAAGGCTTCAAGTTTCATTAGTTTATTAATCCTCTTGACAGCCCTGAGAGGTAGGCTGTCACTATCCTTTACTCTAGCTTATAGAGTATTAGCACCTCAAGGGCAGGAAACTATTTATACAGTATATTCATTGCATACCTTTCAAGCCTCACTGGACGTTACTTACCAATTACATGCTGAAATCCAGTCAAACTAGCCCTTTCTCTGTTCCTCATAAGTAAAACTCCATCTCTCATCACTATGTCTCTATACTACCTACCCTGCCTGCCTGGAATGCACTCCCTCCTTGCTTCTACCACATAGAATTTCTCTCTATCAAATGAGAAAAAAAAATTTAAGGTACTTAGCACAGTGCCTGGTACATAGTAGGCACTATATAAATGCTCATTCCTTCCCTCTTTAAGATACAGCCCAGCACCACCTTCTGCATGAAGGCTTTCCTGCTAGTGCCCTCCCTCCCAAACTACCAGGAACTAGTCAGGAAGACAACACATACAAGGAAGGTAAAAAGAGGCAAAGAGGATGGGGCATGATGGAGAAATCCAAAGCATTCATGTGCCTTCTTTAAATGGAGGTTCCAGGGGGCAGATAGGTGGCGCAGTGGATACAGCACTGGCCCTGAAGTCAGGAGAACCTGAGTTCAAATCCAGCCTCAGACTTGACATTTATTAGCTGTGTGACCCTGGGCAAGTCACTTAACCCCAATTGCCTTAAAAAAAATAAATAAATCCATAAATGGAGGTTCCAGGAGGAACTTTCTGATCCACCCTCCAAAGGGGCCCCAGGAGCAGAGGTTCTGAAGAGGTGTGAATACCAGGGCCTTATGATCCCAGACCACAATGGAGAAATCCAAAGGAATGTAACCAGGTGGGAAATGAAGAGTTAATACTTTGTATATATTTGTATTTAATATGTATATATTTTATAGGTGCCTGTTGTCTCCCCCACTAGATGAATGAGCTTTTTACAATAAGAGATTGTTTCTTCTTTTGTACTTATATCTCCAGCAGGGGCCATCGCCAGTCATCTTGACCTATATCTTGCTATTGGAATCCAATGATTCTAGAAGAGAGAGTGAGTCTGAAGACTTTGAACAGCTCTGCCTCACTTAAATCCTATTCACTTTCATGTCAAGACACGACCCTCCTGATATCATTGGTCCTCTGAGAATGAAGGACAAACAACAATCCCCAGCACCTAGCACAGTGCCTAGTTTATAAATGAGCATTTAATAAATACTCAACAATTAAATTGATTGACTAATAGCACCTGCCCCGTGGTTGGTGTTCCATATACAATTTAATTCAATTTATCAAGTCTGAGGCACTGAGTGCTTAGTTAGTTGGTTGTTGTCCTTCATACTTGAAGAGGAACAAAATAGTATCACTGTGTTGGGGTCAATATATAGTGGCTGATCAGACCAGTACAAACTCTGAAAGCTCTACCACAGGTCAAGCACAAATAGTCCATGTGAACATTTAGAATGGAGATGTCTCTCAATTTGTACACCTCATCTTTCTTTTGAGCTACTGCAGTCCTGCTTTGCTCACAGAGCATAGCGCCTTGTTTGACGCAGGTACGCCACACTGGGCATTCCTGTGCCAGTATCTCCCGTGTCTCATCATTGATTCCAAAGTTCCTCAAAGAGATCTTGAGAGTGTCCTTGTGTCACTTCTTTTTGACCCCTTGTGAGTGCTTGCGTTGTGTGAGTCCTCCATAAAACAGTCTTTTAGGCAAACATGCTTTTGGCATTAGAACAACATGGCCAGCCCACTGCAGCTGCACTCTCTGTGGTAAAGTCTGAATGCTTGGTAGTTCAGCTGAAGAAAGGACTTCAGTGTCTGGTACCTTATCTTGCCAGACGACCTTCAGAATCTTCCTAAGACAATTCAATTCAAATGGAAGCGATTCCTGGCTTGATACTGGTACACTGTCCAGGTTTCGCAGGCATATAACAATGAGGTCAGCATAGCAGCTCTGTAGACTTCAATTTGGTAGGCAGCCTAATACTTTTTCTCTCCCACACTTTACTTCAGAGCTTCCCAAACACTGAACTAGCTCTGGCAATGCATGTGTCAACCTCATCATCTATGGATACATCCCTGAAAGTAAACTACCAAGGTAAGTGAACTTATCCACAGCATTCAGATTTCTCCATTTGCTGTAACCAATGGCCCTGTGTATGGATGGTGCAATGCTGGCTGGTGGAGAACCTCTGTTTTCTTAGTGTTAATCATCCAGTCAAAATTAGCACAAGCAGCAGAGAATCGATCCATGCTTCGTTGCATCTTGGCCTCAGATGCTGCATTGAGTGTTCAATCATCTGTGAACAAAAAAAACATGCACC